AGATTATTTGTTTTGGCTGAACTGGCCTATTCCTTTTAACAATATATTCCTTTAGGGAAGAAAGAGTATAAATATTGAGCTGAGGTGTTATCATCATCATCATAGACCAGTGAAAAGAGACAGTTAAACACATTTTTTTTTAGACTGGGAAATGAGAGGGGAAAGAAGCCAGAGAGAAACAACAAGAAGAATGAGACAGAAAGCAGAAATCGCTGACCTCCGCTCACTCTGTGGACAAAAAAGAAACAAAAACAAAAAACACAGCTGTTTCTAATTGGTAACTCGGCACCGACTGCTGACCTACATTCTGCTTGAGATTCTGAACTCAGCAAAGGAGAGAGAGGGAAAATAAGACAACACACAGAGGTGAAGTTGAAAACATGAGCATTGATTTGTGGAGGAGCTGAGTAGGAAAATATAAAATAAGATAATTATTTGTCTCACTCCAACAGGTATTGCAGTTCCCCTGGACACACTGGTCAGCTCGTCCATGCTTGAAAACCTTTATACAGCCCTGTTGTATGGTGCCCAAATGCCCATATGGTTAATCCGGCCCTGCATTTGTCATGTGTTATCCGAACGTGCTTCATTGCAGTGAAATGCCCAAATAAAATGCAATCAAATCAGCCATTTACTGTAAGGGAATGATTTGTGTATTCAATCACTACCACTTCTTATACATGCTTAATGTTGTTCATTTTGCATGAGGTACAGAGGTTACTTTTTAATTTAAAGATTTGTTTTTGTTTTTGTTTTTGAATGAGCACTCAGTTCTGAGAACAGTCAGCAGGTTGGATATGTTGGATGTTCAGGAATATCATCTACAGTATATGTTTATGTTTAAGTTTTAGCTTATTGTTTGTTTTTACACATATACATGTGTGTGTGTGTGCGTGTGTGTGTGTGTGTGTGTGTGTGTGTGTGTGTGTGTGTGTGTGTGTGTGTGTGTGTGTGTGTGTGTGTGTGTGTGTGTGTGTGTGTGTGTGTGTGTGTGTGTGTGTGTGTGTGTGTGTGTGTGGCCTGGTAAACCCTACGTTATGGGGACAAAATGTCCCCACAAGGATGGCAATATCCGAAATCCTTGTTCGTGTGGGGACATTTTTTGGTCCCCATGAGGAAATCAGCTTATAAATCATACTAAGTGATGTTGTTTGAAAATGTAAAAATGCAGAATGTTTCCTGTGATGGGTAGGTTTAGGGATAGGGTTAGTGTAAGGGAATAGAATATACAGTCTGTACAGTATAAAAATCATTATGTCTATGGAAAGTCCCCATAAAACATGAAAACACAACAAGTGTGTGTGTGTGTGTGTGTGTGTGTGTGTGTGTGTGTGTGTGTGTGTGTGTGTGTGTGTGTGTGTGTGTGTGTGTGTGTGTGTGTGTGTGTGTGTGTGTGTGTGTGTGTGTGTGTGTATGTATGTCAATATTTTGAGAAAATGTATTTCTGTCCCTCTTGCATGTTTCAAGTCTAATCTGCACTCTGTAGCCAAATGCTGTGAGAAAAGAACTAAAGATACTTCAAGGTCAGTATGCTTTGTAGCGAGTCATAAAACGTTTCCAATGAAAAATGATTTAGGTGCATCACAACATGGGATGATAAGGAAGACCAAGGTGGATGAAGATGAACTGGAAGTATACATGGTAAAAGAAAGTAGGCCTTATGGTGATCTGTTCATTTGTTTATCCAATCAATTTTGAAAGTCTTTGTTCAGTGATAATATGAGTATACTGAATAAATCCTCATAAAATGTGTTTTAGCGCTCACTTTGGTAGCTCTCTGTTTGGAACTTTGCTTAATTTTTACCATTGAGTGGCCTGACATTATTTTGAATGTCCATCACATTCTGATATAAATCTGACCAATAATTAGTAAGTCAGTCTTTATTTTATTTTATTTTATTTTAATATTCTTTGGACCCCATGAAATCTTATTGTGTTGACAAAAAAATATATATATATATATATACCGTATATATCTTTTGTATTCCACAGTAGAAAGAGGTTTGTAAAAACAAATGATTATAGAATTTTCATTTATGGGTGAAATATCCCTCCAAAACAAGAAATACTTTTCTCACTTTTGACCAAATGTTGATCTGGACATTTCAGATTTTCTAAATTCTTGGGATGTAGTTGAGGTCATGACTGGGCCACTATGTTGTTGATTACTATTTTTCTTGTAAATCGGTTGTTGTCCTGTCACATCAGTTAAATTCTGCTGAGCTTCAATTGGTGGTTAAGATGGCCTCCTAGAAAATGGCGTATTCTCCCCAAACCATAATAATAATAATAACAACAGTTATATGGCCTTCCAACCATATTTTACAGTTGGGATGAGGTTTTGATTTATTTATTTATTTAGTAGTAGTTAGTTACTTAGTAGTTAGTTAGTTAGTTAGTGTCCTCCCACTAAACACTCTTCTTGTTTAGTGTTTTTGTAAACCAAAACTGCACTGTGCTCTTGCAGTCGTCTTTGCAGGACGCCCACTCATAAAGAGAGAAGCAACAGTACTGAACATTCTGTATTTATAGACTATTAGTTTGACTGTGGACTGATGAACATCAAGGCTTTTGAAGATACTGTGTAACCCTGAATGTGTTCTAAGAACTCTTTTGTTTTCCATTCACTTGCACTATTGATATAAATATGTCTGATAATTCAGTAATTCAGAAAATGAGATGTCTCTCTATTTAAATGACTTAGCAATTGGCCCAATTTGAAGCAGACCTCTTCGTTATGTAATTAACCTATTTATTCATTTGAAAATGAAGATTTCTGAAGCATGATAATGAAGCATTATCAAAAGAAATCACACACAAAGTGTGATTTTCCGCTGCATTCAACTAGAAGTAGAAACTTCATAGAAGTTTGGTCAAGGAAAGGAGAAGAAATTATGAAAAAAATATGGTTGTCTGTAAGTTTATGTGCAAATTTATGTGCTGTCTTCTTTTTATTTTTTTGAGTCCATTAAGTAGTCTCCACCCCTCTATTTGGTGATGTGCACAGCTGCACTTGTGGGCTGCGGAAACACATTCCCAGGCACACAAATCCTGTGGGGCTCTAGCTCTCTTTTCATTCTCACTTACTAGTAACAAGTCTTTCCTCTTCCTATGCTTTGATTTTTTTTTTCTTTTTTGCTCTAATTTGTCAGCATTGAGTAAATTAATATTTACAAGCAGTATAGGATGATATTAGACTATGCCATCAGTCCCTTAATTGGCCCAGACTGGTTACATTGTATGGTCAATGCTCAAATCTGAGTGTTGTGAATGTAGTATTTCAAAGTCAAAAACAAACAATCAAGAGATTAAACTTTTTTTTATTTAATTTTTATTTTGAAGTTTCACTTTTAAATGATTCTCATTTTGCAAATCACTGATTACTTGACACCTTGCTCTCATCTATGCCTAGACAGAACAAAAATAACCCCCTAACATTTCTTTGCATTACAATACAATAACCTACAGCAACCCTTTTAGATTGACCTGGTTTCTGCAGAAATTAGTCATAAAATGGGATCTGATCTTAAAGTCACAACCACAGACAAAACAGTCTGCTTACATACCACCACACAAACAGTGTGTTTTCGTGTATTTATTGAACCCACTGGGTGAACAGTGCACGATGGAAAAAAATGATGTGACGTAAAAAAGGCTAATGACCAAAAGCTAAATGGAATCAGGACTCATCGTTCAATCAATGAGGTTATATTGAAGGTGTTGGGCAGAGCCTGCACTGGACAACACATATTTTTAGTTTGCTATTTGCGAGAAGCAGCCTTATGTTAACCATGTGTCAAAAACTGTTTCTGATATGCAACATATCACTGATATATACCATGATTTTGTATTAGCATTACACGCACTATTAAACGCATAACCTAAATTAATTCATGTAAAATTATTATTACAATACATTTTAATTTATAATAAATAATTTATGATGAGTAAAAATACAAGTGTGAAGAAAAACAATACAACCCCCCCCCCCCCCACACACACACACACACACAATACAGTTAACACAATAATTTAAAAAACACAATTAAAGAGCAATTCTTAAACCAGTGTAAAGTTGTAGTGGAAACATCAGTATTGTGGTGACAGCGACATCTGGTGGCGTACTGGGGAATTTAAAGGCTCTTGTAGAAGGCGGAAGTCTAGTAGTACTACAAACACATTATAATACAGCTTTAAATCTTTGGTTTTCCCTTTCAATGCATTCTTGTATTCAACGGTATTTACTTGAAAAACACATAGATCGCTACTTACAAAGGAGAGAGAGAGAGAGAGAGAGAGAGAGGGGGGGGGTATGTTATCACATCAGACAGAATGTGTGGATGCGTGCAAAGAAAAACTATAAAGATTGAAAAATCAATCACAGTTAATATGCTTGATGTCCAGAAAGCGTCATAGATATATAAAATCCTGCAAATTTTAGTAAGGCTAGAATGTACAGATTAACCACCAAATTACATTATGGCCTAATATTTTAAGTTTTAAGTAATTTAAGTAAGTTATTTAGTAGGCTACCACTTTCCTTTTCTTTTTACAGTCTATGGCTAATACACTGGTATCAAAATGTGCACAACTCCAAAATTTTATTTGTGTTTACCAAAGAAACAAACTCGTCAAACTCCGTTTGCCATTGCGAGATTGGACAAAACGGTTTCATTCCAGCCCCTTCATTCACTCCCATTACAAATCCAACACTACGGCGAAATTGCGTATCTCTCATGAATATCAATTCAGTGATGCTGACGTTGCTTTGTAGGCTTCCTGGAGCGTTAGACCAGTCGGACCAGTCACGTAACAAATTTAATATTCATGAGTCACAAGTCACGGTCATTCGTCCACTTTAGAACAGTCCTACCAGAGCCTACTGGACGAAAGACACGTTACGTAATTAATATGCATGAGGCTCACGCTACTCATGTGACGTGCTCTGAGCTGTCTGAAGTTGAAAACACTGTCCATGTTATTGCTTCCTCTCTGCAACGTGCGTGCTGCACTTCTAATGCAAATTTATATATTTTTGTAGACATTTTTGACTGGAATTATTGAACAAGATATTTGAATCCGAATCTTCTAATTTTCCTCAAGGACTGTGTACTCTACCAGCTACCTTACTGCTAGATTTTAAGTGATAAGCGAGCCTTCAGTTTAAGGTGAGGTTAAGCTCAATGCATTTACGACTGAAACGTAAATTGAAACGGTCAGATCATTCGCTATGGTCAGACACTATATGTTTTGTTGTTGTTTATGTAATCACGGGATTTCGTACGTTTGATATTGATGTGGTTACTACTTGTTTCCGTGATCTGCAGGCTTAGGAGGACGGTAAACAAGCGTATAATGGCGACTGAGATTGAAGCCTGGACCACTGCCACCCAAAACGATGGTACGAACATTAAACCAATGATTGCCTTAACAACTGCTCATTTATCTATTCAGCCTGCGTTTAGCTAATCAATGCATATGGTAGTTGGTCTTTTACGGTGTCGTTTTTGCAGACGACATGGGCTTAACTTTGCACTCATGTTCCACCATGTGCTCTGGCAGAAAGGCTTGTATATCGCATGTGTGGTATAAACTTGTAGAAAAATAATCGGTGCATTATTGCATTAATACCAAGATTTCACTGGTTGTTATTGTGAGCACATATAAGCACGTGCTCTTTCATGCAAAACTTTTTTGCGGATATAAGCATTTAATTTTTTAATAATTTCTCTGATACACATAAAGTGGTCAAATACAAGCAACATTATTTCCCCATATTTTACATAAATTAACTATCGTTCATAATATGAACTCTACAACTTAGTACCAAAACAGTTAACCGCAAACGAGCTATAGCATGTAAGATTGTCATGTTTATTGCTGCAAATTTGGCTTATGAACAAACCAATATGGAATGACCAATTGTGTCATTAAATACGTTTCTTTTCTAGTTACATCTATTTATAAATATAAATATTTGATCTTGTATGCGATAAAATCATTAAGCTTCTTTGTTAGGGGAAATTTGCTACAATATTAAAACATACGCCCCCTTGCTGAGATACCCGGATGTTTTTGTTCTTGCCACATGAGTTTGAATATGAATATTTCATGATTTGTTTTCGCGATTTTCTTTCATAAATACAGCGTCCAGATCAGTGCTATAAAAGTAGTGTTACCAAAAGCACGTACGTGCCATGGTCTTTGTTTTTGTTTGCGCACAGAACTTGGCTTCCATTCATTTCTCTTATCTGATGACATAAGCATATGAAGCATATAACCGACCAAATGTGTGTTCGTGTAATATTTGTATTGTTATATTGTGCGCAAACTAAATTTAAAATAAATAAAAAATTAAAATGTAAAAGGTTTAGGAAATCTTTGACACACACACGCGCGTGCACACAAACTACATAATTATACAGAGGTGGTGATTCTGAGACAGTCAAACATTACCTCGCAAATTTATGAATATATATGTCACCATGTGCAGTTCTGGAGGAAAACAAGCTGATTATAGCTTAGACAATAAATGCACATAAACCAATGATACATTAGTAATATATTTTTTAATATACCTACCCATCTATAACTTTCTTCTAATTGATGAGATTTTAATTTGATAAAAAAATGGCTGATACATCAGAGCATCTCTATTGGAAAGACATGTATTATAGAAAAATGATTGCATGTTGAATGTGTGTCTTTGTTCAGCTTGTAACAAACAAATGAGATATTTTTGACCCCATACTATGAATACCTGCCAATTTTTGCAATACTGACTGTATGTGTTGTTGTAAAGTGGGTCGAATGTACACCCCCAGAAGATGTCAGAGGTGAATAAGCCATAATTGTCAAAATAGATAAGACGTTTTCCTTTTATCATGTCAAATTTTCCTTATTGACAGTTAAACTGCTGGTTAAACACACCCACCACACCTCCTGTTCTCCTGCTTGCTTAGTACTTAATACAAAAACGACTCAACATTGGTATTGAGGACATTTTTTTTTTATTTTTTTTATGTAGTTTAGACCTGGTGGCCTAGTCAAACACTTTTACAGAACATAGCTACAACATGTTGAAGTAACACTTTTGATTTATCCCTGCTGTGCCCATTTTCTGTTGCTGTTCCTGCTGGCACTTTTAACTGGTTTAAACACTGCAGTAACTACAGTGTGGTTTCTCGTCTGATCGTAGCTAGTATTTTAGGACGGGAGTATTTATTACCATGAAGGCCACTCCTACTGCTCCTTTCAACCCCCCCCCCCATGTAGACTTTACACTGCCATATGTAGTCAGGCTTGGCAAGAGCACCAGAGAGGCATCAGAAAAAGCAAAGTCAGCTTTTCTGCCTCCTTGTGCTGCTGCTGCCCTCTTTATCTCTTCATTTGCTTGTCCTTTTGTGTAGTCCAGTGAAAGCAGAAAACAACACTTTTACACTCTAATGTTGTTTCAAACCTGTATGCGTTTTTATTTTGAGTTGATCCCTTTAAAACAGAGTAGCATATGGTTTGTCAAGACGTCTGTTTTTGGATGAACCTCAGCTCATATTTATTGCAGCTCTGAGATTAGCAAAGAGATTAGCTTTGAGACATTGATTTGAAAGTGGACTCACTTTTTACATTGTGTTCTGGAATAATTTTTTACATTATGAGAAGTAGTCTGCATTTCATGCATGTAATCACTACAAGTATTGGGATATACCATCATGTTATTAAATTGCATTTTCATAACACGTGCTCTCTTTGTTGCATGCCACCTTATCTCAGTGTAAACATGTCAGTGAGTTTATATGCACCTAAAATATAAAGTCATGATTGATGGTAATAACCAAAACAATGAATGGGACAAAACAAAGTTTAATAGCATTTACAATAGTTTTTGCTATTGTACCGGTACAGCGAACCTTGAAAGTATGACGAGTTGAAGATTCTTCATATTCCTTTTTGGTGTAAAAAAAAAAAGGCAATTTATTTTTGAGTGAATTATTCCTTGAATGTCAGTTACCTTCTCCTTCCATATTGGTGACACAATAAGCAGTGCATTGTTTAAAATGTGCTGCTCAGTAAATGACAATAATGTGGATAGTTTTTTCCCACACATTATTTTAAACGCCAAGATTGTGCAAGAATTCTGCCTGAAATTCAGCAAATTAAACCTCTTGAATTAAGATGTTTGCATGCTTTTAGGGCTGAGAACTAGAACTTTTTTTTAAGGTTTATCAGAGGTGAATATGAGACATGACCAGGTGTGCAGGAAAGATAAACATTTCTGTATGATGAAATGAAAGCTGATTGATTGATGATTAAAATGCTTGGGAAGTTGGGATGATACATATATAATGTCACTTGAAAATGGCAATAGTCTTATTTTTTTTAGGCTTAAGCCTAGTCCCAGACTAAGATACATGTTTGAGCTGTTTTAACTGAAAGCAACTTTCAGTTAAATTGTTCCATCTCAAAATGTATACCAGTAATGTTTTTTTCTAAGGCATATTTATAAAAGCTACTTAAATGCCCTAATTGAATTAAGGCCTAATCCTGGCTTTATCTAAGTCCTGACTGTAAAAACCAGGCCTTAAAGTGGTATGCTTTATTGGTTTAAAACATATTTTTTGACCATTTAAATGACAAATTTTGAATTTTCTTTTGGGCTTGTATTTTTCAGGAGCCTTAAATGGTTAGTTCACCCCAAAATGAAAATTCTGTCAGTAATTACTCACCCTCATGTTGTTCCAACCCCGTAAGACTTTCGTTCATCTTCGGAACACAAATTAAGATATTTTTGATTAAATCTGAGAGCTGGATCACTCCTCCATAGGCTTCTTAAGGGATCGAAACTGACCGTCCGTAGCTTTTTTAAGTTAAAAATAATCCAAAATAATTATATTTTAAAAAACGTATTCTGCCAGTGGTCAAGACTATCTGCTTGCCATAGCTAGATTCAAAACGGTTAGCTTGTAATAATGATTTTAATTCCAGTGGTAGGCCTACTGGTGGGTTTCCGCGGGAAATTCGAGCATGTCTTTGCGTCATTACGTCACACCCGTACACATAAAGAAGGAGTTTCGGCTAGCCGGCTATACTGCGCGTGACGAGATGTTTAGATGTATAGGCTTTTCTCGCAGCACTTTACATAATTAAACTTATGGCATCCAGAAAGATCCAAACAACAATCATCAGTGTCAACTGGAGATTCAGCAGTTATAAAACCCAAAAGACTTCGTACTTCGGATTTAAGGTGGCTAGAGAAAGAGAAAGAAACCGTCTCATGCGAACATAAGGATTTAAACATCGGCGGGGCTTTTGAAAAGTGCGTGAACTCCGTGTTTTGAAGGGGTTCAAAACGGAAGAAGAGACGGCCTTTTTCTGCTGAACAAGTAAGTTAAGACATTTCAATAGTTCAATCGTGTAACAGTACGTTTTCTTAATTCACACAGTTATGGAGTTTCCTTTGTTGTGCCTTTCTCGTTTTGCTATTATGGAGAATATGAATTCTGAACTACACAGGTATAAAACACATTAAATTTAACATTAGTCACGCAATGCTGATGTGATGTTGTTAACATGAACAATTTGAGAACAAAGTAGGCTATAATTTGCACAGTTGCTGTAAATCGCGTTGATTAAATCTAACGAAGCTTATCATGTCGAATGCTTTTTCCCCCTTAGTTGGTCAGAACAAAAATGGATGTTACTTACTTGTTCAGAAGACATTTTCTTATGAAAATTCTTATGTTGGTCAAACTTTCAAAAAGTGAATCTGTGATTCTGTATGACAGTATCCACACAGCGCGGTGACTGACAGCAGCACTCGCCTCAAAGCACTGTGTTCATCCGCGTTGTTTCATGCCGATTTACAACCCACGTAAAGATGATAATTCCGCGAATCACTGCAGTTACAGATTTCGAACAGAGAGATGGCGACAAAGAGGAAAAGCTACGGACTGCAGCTTTTAAAGTAGTTTATAAAAAATGAAAACCAACAATATTCATAGCCATATGTGCTATGCCACACAATGCCAAATTTAAAGTATAAGCTAGATTAGTGCACCAAGCTAGGAGTATCTTAATAGTTGTCCATTCTGTCTGTGTCTGGTACAGGTGTGTTCTCACTTGAGAAAGAGCAGGATGGGGTGGATGGGACTTATGGCTGTGAGGATCTGAATGAGTTGGAGGTGAATGGGAACTGGACCCCTCAGGAAAAGGCCCTGCATGAGGCCAGACTGAAAGCTAAGGCTAAACGGCGCCTGCGTAAATCATCCTCCCGGGATTCCACTCGGGAATCACTTTCTGAATCGGTTTCTGGAGAGCTTTCTACCGATCCACACAGCCCCAAGGGTAAGAACGCTGTAAATGATCGAAAGTCACGGACTGGAAAAGGTCGAGGACTGCCCAAAAAAGGTGAGATTGTGAAATATGAATTGTTCTCTAATTATTTGTTTTTCCAATATATAAATTGATTAAAGATGGATACCAAATTTAGATGTTAATATAAACCACAGAGCAGGATCCATTTAGCCTCAAGTGGCACAATTTTCCTATTACAATTTTTTGATAGTAACTTTGTGTGGTATGACCAAAATCTTACATCACTGTTACAGTATTTATCATCATGATATATATATATATGTATATATATATTTATATATTTATATATTTATTTAATGGATCCAAACCAAAAAATATAGTAATTCGTATAAAAGTTGCCTCTTATGTTCTAGTTTCTATTGGATAAATGTTTTATATTTCAAATTCCTTCCTCCCTACCTTTTGCGTTTTTGGCTGTCTTATAGCTGTTTTATTCTTATTGCTCCTATGAATAGGTGGAGCAGGTGGTAAAGGTGTGTGGGGAGCAGCGGGTATGGTATATGAGGTGGAGGAACCTGACGCAAAGGACCCCAACTATGATGAATCTGCACAGGTAGGAGTACACCTACTATTTACCTTTGCATCCTATACATGAAGAATACTAGTACACTTAACAAAATATTCCTATTTTTTTATGGACAATGAATGTTTACATTCACAGTGCCAGTCAACACCTGCACCCAGATATCCCCGTTTATTTGTCAGCAAATGTGTGCCAAATGCAAGTAGTTTGTCCAAATTTATAATACGCATATAACAGTAGGCAAAAAGTACTTGGATTATCTACTACTACTTCCGACAAGTTTCCGACATTGTGTATCCACTGGAAACTTTACTATCACCTGAGGCCATGGTACTGGATTTGTGAATGGCAGTGAAGTGACTAGTGTTGTCAAAATATTCGGTACTTCGGTACCAAGTCGGTACTACAATTTTTTAAACGTCACAGTACCTAGTACCCGGTCAAACCCGGTTATGGATGCGCATGCATGCACGAAGGGCGTGAAGTTGCGTCCTCTTCATGAAAGCGCTGAGACATGGTGACCGGCGGCGCTGCTGATGTGGTGTCTGTGTATATTAAACTGCCAAAAGACTATTTAAATATTAACCCTGCATGTTCTGCTTGTCTCTGTGTGAATGAACGGCGCAGACGCGCGTTTTCATTTAATGCTACCTCACACACACTGAAGCACGAGTGACGCTCACGCTATTTTCAGTCTCTGCTGCCTCACGATATGATGACAGGATTCATGATTCAATCTCCGAGAGTCACTTCATGAGCATTTTACCGTTTCATTTGAGAAAAACTATCGTCATATCATACACGCACAGAAACTCAAAGGTCTTCACGGCAATCCGTCAAAATAAAAGTTTGGTTTAACTTAAAGAAATTGACAGAAATTATTATATTAGGCTACTGTACAATAGATTTAACTACGTCTCCATTAATTAAAAATACTACTAATAATAATAATAATGTGTGCATAGAAGGTTGCTTATTTTTCACTTGATTTTTTTATAAGCAATATTTCTCAATATTAGGGGTGTCCCCGACTAAGGATTTTCATAGTCGAATCAGAATTGTCAAGTCTTCCCTATAGTCGACTAATAGTCGAACCGTGTGTGGGGTTGGGGAGGGGGCGGGGCTTTAACATTTTAAAGCCGCGATGTGCAGAACATCACACAAAGATATAGAAGAAAATGTATAAAAACATTTCGGATCAATAAACTAAGAAATAACATAAATAACTGCAGAAAGACCACACTGCAGACAGGATTTGCATTTCACATGCAAATCAAATTAAATCAGCTAAATTGCCTGTGCGAGCAGGCTCTAAGAACAGAGCGCAACATCGATGCACCGAAAAATAATCAACAATTAATTTACAGAATTAAATTAGAACAGAATATACCTTTCTAAAAAATAAAAATTCAAAACGAACTAAGTCAGAATCAAGTCACAAGATGCAGAACAAATGTGTGCAAAATGCCTAAAGTGCAGGGGAACATAGCTATATTCAAAACACAAATAGTTAAATTAGATAACCCTGAGTGATCAATAAATAAAATAAAAATAAATAAATTCTTAAAATAACGAAAGTATAGCCAGAATTGTCAACTTAGTCTTTTTAACTGCAGAAGCAACAATAAACACTAAACTCGAGTGACAGTTTAGCTAAACATGTTCACAGCATCCAAAAATCAAATTAGAACCGGCTGAAATGTTTTGAAATCACTTGTACCCTTCCTGATCGAGACAAAATAAATCTAGTCTTTCACTCTCTGTGTCTCTGTGTCCGTTTGAGTCTTTTCAAATTGTGTGCTCGGATAAAATACATTCTAAAATGCTTAACATGAAAAACGTAACGGCTTAATGTCCTAAGACGATTATATAAAAATATCAAATTCTGTACACACCTTATTAATAAAGCATACTGTATAGCCTACAGTAAAGCAGACGAGCCCAGATCTAACCCAGGTCAGTGGTTTAAAGGGGTCATATAATGGTACATGCACTTTTTCAAGTTGATTGTACTGAAATGTGTGTTGGCAGTGCCTGTACACAACCATCATATAATGATAAAAATCCATCCAGTGTTTTTGTTTTAATCTCCTTATATGTTTTCCCCTGCCTCAAATCGAGCCGTTCGACCGTGTGACGTCACACGGTCGGACGCCCCTCCCGCGATTGTTGATTGACAGCAGCGTTTCAACACAGACCCGCCCTCGCTCGTGAGCCAGCTGTCAATCATAGTCTGCGCGGACAGGCGCGGTCATTGTTGATATGCTGGAGCACTGTCTATGAGCAGAATGGCGTCTAAGCGATTGGTGTTCTGTTCTTGGGTGCAATAACGAACACAGCAGTAATTTTGATGTTCCTAAATTCGAACCGCTGAAGGACGCAGTGGCTGAGTTTTGTTTTCGAAGGGAATATTCCCCACGAGCAACGTCAATGCGTTCATGTTTGCGCGAATCATTTCTCAGCAGACTGCTTTATAAACGAGGGTCAGTAAAAGCTAAGAAGCTGCTCCTGAATAAAGGATCGGTACCAGCTATTCGTGTTCCTGCTGAACCTCTAGAACAACTGAAGTGAGTGTAACGTTTTATTAACCTTTATATTAATATTTATATCTTTGCAAATCGCTTGCACGCTTCACGATGAATGAGTCTAAGGTTTACACTCAGGGTACATTACGGCATGTTTTCTATGTACGACGTTCTCAATATAATTCATAATCCCACGTTTATAATGAACAATGCGTTATGGTTATTGTGTTACAAACGTGTATACACAGAACAGAGGGGCGGAGTGAGCGAAGCTCATGATTATTTAAAGTCATATGCACTGAAACGGCGTGCTGAAAACAGAGCTGTTTTTGACCAGATAAAATAATTGTTTTCTTACAATACTAATGAGAATTTTTAATTAAAGTATATTACAAACTTTTAATTTAGACCCTAAAGAATCATATTAGCTTGTACAAAAATGGCATTATATGACCCCTTTAAAGAAATGACCAGCAACCTTGCTTTGGAAAAACTTACTTATGTTGTTAAAGGGAAACTAAAAGACTTTGATCAAATTTGGGCTCCCTTCTTACATTACTGTAACCAAGTTGACCAGACAATATGGGATGATTGAACTACCTAACTCTTCTGTAGTGGTCATGTCCAATATTTAACTCAGTTCCTGTAATCCAGCAAAACAAATAATAGCTCTGGTAAAATAGTAGAATTAAACAACAAAATGTCAGGCTGTGGGCTGTAATATCAAAATGTATATTTTATTTATTTTATTTTACATTATTTTATGGTTTAGTGTTGTTCTGGATGTCCTGTAATGTGTATCTTATTATCTTCATTCTTAATTGTTTTTTTGTTTCTCACTCATTATTTTGTTTATTTTGTTGTCTTTATGTTCAAACAAAAACCAATAAAAAAAATGTTGAAAAAAAAAAGCAGACGAGCCCAGATGAACGTTAATTTTCCTCCCATTGAAAACCGTCATTATAAAGAAAACGCTTTACGTGACTTTCTATAAGAGGAACACGTTGCGTTCATATTCTGGGTTCTGCTCATCTGCACATAGTAGGCTATGGTTTCTTAATAAGATATGTACTACATACATTAAGCCACGTAAAAGTGCCTTTTAAGCGTTTTAAAAGCTTTTTTCACGTTAAGCGTTTTAGAATGACCCGAGGAAAATCAACTTGTTAACGTTGGCCGGCAGAAGTGCGATCATGGTTTCCTGATGCTAAATCCAGCCTTGGAGAATATCCTTTCCGATGGTGTGCATCCACACTTTAGATTTTCTTATCCAGACATTTTTAAAGATTTAAATCCCTGCCGCCAAAACGCTCCTCTCTCGGTCATGGATCGAAAGTGAAACTTAAATCTGTCACGGGGTGTTTGGATTTATTCACGCAGTTAAAAATATTTATTAAAAGCTTCTTCCTTTGCACATTTGTATTTACAGCATTATCATAATAGGCTCCTATATTAACGTATTGACATAAAACCGGTAGTTCTATGTGAAATCAGACATTGAGCACCCTCATATAACCTCTGCGAAGATTCGACCGTGAGATTGCTAGTCGAATCAGGCTCCTCCTATCGATGCATCGAATCTTCGACTATTCGGGGTCACCCCTACTCAATATCATCAATATTTTCGTTTAAACAGCATGTAGCCTTCAATGCTTTCATAAATTTACCATCATAAATAATAAAGTCATTGAATTGAATTTAATATATTTTTTTCAAATAGTTAAATAAATTGGAAAAATAGTTCAAACTGATTTTGCTGTGGTACCGAGAACCATAAAATTGTAATGGGATCGGTACCGACTTCTGGAATTTTGGTACCGTGACATCCCTAGAAGTGACGCAACGCAACTGATTTTTTCCGGATCTTGTGAAATCCTAATGTTACTCATTTAAATAATCTCCTCCCATGGAATGCACAAAAAAGGTGCCTGGTTGAGCTGCATTAGAGAAGACAGTGTTGTCGCTATGTCAAAGAGACACTGTTTTTTCCACCCGTTTCCAAAACTTTAAACACTGATCCTGAACATTATAACCCCAACGTTTATCTGTGTGCTGCACATTTTATGGAGAACAGCTTCCAGAAACTAAGAGGGTACAATGCAGGCTACACACAAAAGCTTCTCCTAAAATGGAGCAGTTCTCCCTTTGTCGGGACAATCTGTTGTTTGTGGATAACAACTTGCAAGTATTTATTACTTGCAAGTCTTATTATTTCTAGTTGTGTTTTCTACCAACAGTTCCAATTATAAGTTTTATGTTGTTGCTACAATGTAAACAAAGGGCAAAGTTCTTTAGCTCCGCTCGCCTGCTAGCCAACATTAGTGTTTATATATTGTTTACTGTAGCTTTTGTAAGCTCTCACTTTTGTAAGGCTGTTCACCGCCCCTTAGGAAAATTAACCATGGTTTTGTGATCGATTACTGTTTGTATTGCCATAGTTGTCCGACAAGTATCATGATTAAACTATGTAGACGAAATACTCCCAAGGCACTCACATGGTAAAGTAAACGGCCTTTAATGAACTGGGCTAAATCATTAGAACCAGTTAAAAGTAGATCTACGCGTTTCGGCAACACAGCCTTCTTCAGGACTGGCCCATCATTTTTAGATCTACTCCTTAATATTTACATCTGAGTCGAGCAGCTCTGGGTCATGGTAAGGGGCGTGGCATTTCCCAAACACGCGCTAAGTGGTGCCAATCACAACACTGGGCCAGCCAACCAATCACAGCACATTTTGTATTTAAGAAGGAGGGGCTTCATTGAAACAGGAAATAATCAGCGTGTTCAGGCCAGACTGGGGAAAGAGGTGCTGTAATAATGTAAAATATGTGAAAAATACTGTGTTTTTTGAAGATTCAAGCATGAAAGCATATTCTAGTACACCCCAAAAACAAAATAAAGACTTTGTAAAAGGGCGTAATAGGACCCCTTTAATGGTCATGAAGTACGTTTCAAACCAAATGTAGCACCTGATATACAGTATGCGATTTCAGACACAGCTCATGTATACAGAGCCCAAATCAAATATGGTGACGTCAATAACATCATTCCTGCGTCATGACATGACCACCAATGAGGTTTGATGTTTTTTTGAATGGCATGAGGGTGAGTAAATAATGACAGAATTAAAATGTTTGTTGAACCAATCCTTTAAGAATCAGAGTCAGTGAGTCAGTGTTTCTCTTGTTCAGTTGAGTGGGATGTGAGCTAAAAGTGGTTCTGGCAGCCCTGCTGGTATTCATGCTGTTTGAATACTGCTGTTATGTTAATCAGTGCACTGTATCACCCAAGTGTTTAACATACACAGATGGGCTGCAGCAATGACAGTTTACTGGAGAGATCTACTAGGGAAAATAAAAGATGAAAAAAAAATTTTTTTTTAATGATTTAGTATTTGTTTAATTGATTTGTTATCCCTTTATGTTAAAGGTGTTTTTTCTAGTGTCAGACTCTTGTTTGTTTATCAGGGAGACACAGTATATGCTACAGTAGTACCGGAGCTGGACGAGAGAGAACTCGAGAAGACCATCAACCCCATTGTGCAGGAGTACTTTGAGCATGGAGACACCAAAGAGGTGGAGGTGAGCTATAGCTTAAAACAAAGCCAGATGCCAAATAACAGAAACTTTGTTTCAGTAGTATTAGTAGCTAAACATTCCATTCCCATTCATTGAATACCATTAGAGCAGTGCTTCTCATCCAGGAAGCTGGGGCCTAGTAGGGGAATTTAAACCAAGCCTTAAAAAAAGATGAAAAAAATCAAAATCAAAATATTACTTATTTATAATTCACCCCCTGTTCACACTGATGATGTAAATCAAAAACGTTTTGTCTATGTATTTGGCCTCTAAATATTTTTTTTGTACAAGACATTTTCTATGATAATGTGTGCAAGCTCCTCTCCTGGTTGTACTTTGATATGTTTTTGAGGTTACACAATAATTAATTTGTTTATCTGTTAATTCAGGGGTGCAAAACACAGTCAGGTCCACACAGTCCTGTAGAGTTTAGTTCCAAACCTGCTCCAAAACACATACCTGGGCTGCATCCGTGAAGAACATTAATCTCTTAGGATGTCTGGAATCCTGAAATTTAATTTACAGAACTAGGACTGTCGGGCCTTTAAATATTGAAGTCAAAAAAGTTTAAGAACCACTGCATTAGAGCATCATACTTGGTCTAATATACAGTATTCTAATTACTCCTCACAATGTAAACTAGTTAAATGAATAGTTCACCCAAAAATTATCCCATAATTGACTCCCCCTCAAGCCATCCTATGACTTTCTTCTTTCAGCCAAACGCAATCAGAGTTATATTAAATAATATCCTGGCTCTTCACAGCTTTGTAATGGCATTGAATAGTGCCCGATTTCAAGCTCCAAAAAGTACATCCATCCATCATAAAAGTAATCCATACGACTCCAGTGGGTTAATAAATGCCTTCTGTAGCGAAACGATGGGTTGTATAAAACTGGCAACGGCCGTACACACAATCACAAGAGAGTAAATTATGGGATAATTTTCTTGGGTGAACCTTTCCTTTAATTCACCTCCCAGCAATTTTCCACAGTCTTTGTAAGTTGTTGATCTAAGCTTTTATTTCTGCTTCTTCCTTTGTCTGGTAGATGCTTCTCAAAGAGCTGAACTTGGGCCATCACAGATATGAGTTCTCCTCTCTGGCTGTTTCTCTGTCTCTGGAAGGCAAGGCCAGCCAAAGAGAGCTTACATCACGTCTTCTCTCAGACTTATCTGGAAAGGTGCTCTCTGAAAGGGACATGTCACGTGCGTTTGACAAAATACTTAAAGAACTGCCAGACCTCATCCTGGATACACCGGAGGCCCCACAGGTAAGGGAAAAATGTCATATGACAATGAAAAATTCCATAAAAAGGACAATATTATTAAAAGAGTTCAATCAAGTTCACTCAAAAAGATTTATTTATTTATTTATTAAGGGTGTCACGATTTCGATTTTAAATCGAAATCGATCGAAATTAATTCACAATCTCGAACTTCGAATTAAAAAATGGAATCGTCGATGCTGCCACGCCCCCATGTCACGTCCGGTCGGCGTGCCAAGGGGAAAAAAACACGTGTGTTGAAGTGCTGCGAGTCTATGGTCAACCTCCTCTAACTTAGCTACAGCCATTCAAAAGATAGCATGGCAACTGCAGATGCAGGAGACCCATCGACAGAACTTGAACCCCCTACTCTTTCATTGAAGTCGCAGGTGTGGAAGTTTTTTTGATTTCCAGTGAGTTATGTTGACAACGTTCGCGCTTCAAAAAAGCCACAGTTTGCAGACATCCTAAGTCTCGCGGAAGTTCCGCGGAAGCTATCATATTGATAGCGGCTCCCTGATTCACGCAAATTAGTTAAAATCTCCCGTAATCTAGAGTGAGCGAGCAAGAGCGCGCATGCAAGACAGAAAAAACTGTGCTCCAAACCGTATTGCGCACACGGCAGAGAGGGAGAGAGCGAGAGACCTTGCGTGTGTGCCTCATGAAGCGCATGTAAGACAGAGCATCCTGATTGGCTGGTTTTGGCTTTAAAAAAAATAAATGTAAAAATCGAGAATCGAATCGAACCGTGACCTTAGAATCGAAAATGTAATCGAATCGAAGATTTGGAGAATCGTGACACCCCTATTATTTATTCATCCTCATGTCGTTCCAAACCTGTATGAGCACATTCTCTATAATACCTGGTTCCTTTCTTTTCTTCAGATGCTTGGTCAATTTATTGCACGGGCCATTGCTGACCACGCTTTACCCATGAGTTTCCTTGACTGTTACAAAGGCAAGGTGGATTGTGACCATGCCAGGTGAGCTTGATGTGACAGTCTTGGTTATTTGGGTAATTTGCTTGGATGTTCTCCAGGCACTCTTGTGTCCAGATTATGAATAAGTATTCTGTTACTCAGTACATAAACCTAAATTTTATGCAGAACCTTCATTGCATCACAAACCAAATTGTAATTAACGTGAAAAGTGTTGAATGCAGCACTTAGAATTGCGAGGTGCTTTAAGGTTTCAAGGTTTTGACGACCATTTGTTGTTAAATTCAGGGAGTCATGATGATAATGGGATTTTGGGTCAGAGTGGGATTTGGTGTGGGAATTTACCACCTGCCACCAGCCAAATGTGATTACAGTGGCAGAAAGATTTGCCTTGTCACTACGTAATGGTGGTGACTGCCTCTGATTGGCCTTGATGAAAAATTATTTTGCTTTGTAACAATGAAGCATGCTTGTAGAAGTAGCATTTCATTATCTTGTAGCACAGATGGAAAGAAGCATATCCCAATAAGAGTGAACCCACAAGCAGCCTAATCGACTAGGGCTACTAGTGGTAAGAACTAAAGTGGTAAATTGTGCTCTTATCAGTCATTGTGGCTTGTGGGCAATGAAGGTAATTTCCCACCATACATGCCATGGGGCCCTAGATTGAATATGCAGTTTTATCTAATGTGTGAAATCATTCTTTTTGTTCTTATTTTCTGTATTATCTGCTTATATAATGTGACCCACTGATATAATGTTCCCATGTTTGTGTGTTCATGCCTTTATTACTGTTAGAGCTGCACTGGACAGAGCATCAGTTCTGCTCTCCATGAAGAGGGAAATCATGCGGCTTGATAATGTGTGGGGAGTTGGTGGCGGCCAGAGGCCTGTCAAACATCTCATCAAAGAGGTAAAGTGAGGCCAGATGTATTTCAAATTAGAGATGCACCGATTACAATTTTCTAGGCCGATTCCGATTTCCGATTTTTCAGAGTTTGACCTGCCGATACCGATTTTAGCCGATTCCGATTTAATTTTTTCTAACCACATTACAGCACACACAAATATTTATTTTCTCTCTTTTCTTTAGTAGAACATTTTGCATAGAACATTTTTGAACAGTAATCGCTATAAAATAGGACTATATAAATTACTCCTGGTGTGGGAAATTCACACACATCTAAAGTGCAGTGTTATGGGAAATTCACACACATCTAAAGTGCAGTGTTATGGAAGAACCATTTCCTTCTTTTCACATCCAATATCCAACTAAAAAAATGTGTTCATTTCAAAAAGAAAATTCATTTTCTTTTCTGACATAAACTCCAGTTCTTGTTAAAACACACCAGACATGCAAATTCTGTGCATATTTTCTGAAATCATATTTATTTTGTCCATCAAAAGTGTGCTTTCACTTTAATTGAGCATGAGGAGTGCAGCAAAAATAGACTCTGCGCCGAAACCCGCGCTTCACCGCTGCTCCTGCTCGACGCTCACACGCTGCTCCTGCTCCCGGTGTGAATGCACTCATTGATTAACATGCACGCCGGAAATATTACGCGCTGCTCACGTTTGCGGTGTGAAACGGACGTAATTCACGAGGTTTCCTACATGTGCGTTCCGTGTGCATGTGTGATGGGAAGTGTGATAAAGGCCTTTTGCGCTTGAATTATTTAAAAGCACTTGAATCAATGATTGGCTGATCATAGGATAGGCCTACATTAGTACCATCCTCGGTAATGATGGAGGGATTTGGCCGATTTTCACGTGATCGGCCATGATCGGCGACCGGCCGGTCAGTCTGACATGCCGATTTTATGCCGGTCAAATGCACTCGGGCGCCGCATGAATTTGACCGGCATAAAATTGGCATATGTCAGACTGACCGGCCGGTCGCCGATCACGTGAAAATCGGCCAATTCCGGTCACCAGCCGATCAATCGGTGCATCTCTATTTCAAATTCCTCCATCATTACCGAGGATGGTTCTAATGTAGGCCTATCCTATGATCAGCCAATCATTAATTCAAGTGCTTTTAAACAATTCAAGCGCAAAAGGCCTTTATCACACTTCCCCGTTTGAAAACTGGAAGCTTCAAATAGGAGCATAAAAAAACTTCCGCTCCAGCCTGTATCAATGGCTGTGCCCATAGCATGGGATTGGTTTGTTTTTGTAAAATTCAGCACAGATACCTCTTCTAAAGACACCAGCCTCAGTTTACAATCATTGAGTATTGTGAAACAAAGAAAAAATGTGTCATAATATTCCGAAGCATATTTCGTGATTTAAAGTGGAGCATGCAAGCCATACTGTATGTGTGAGCGCTATACTTCTGCAATAAAGTAAGGGGATCAGATTCTGAACTACAAGAATAAAATACAAACTACATATCACATTAAAGAGCATAAGAATTAGACAAATCTTAAAATATTAATTATGACTGAAGTCTATTTTATGGGGATTGAATTAAAGGTTGGGGAAAACTTATTGTATTAAACCATAATGTTTGCATTTTTTCATGCACTTACTTTATGATGCTTTCATCAAATTGAAGTAGTTTAAATAAAGAAATTTTCCAGCTCATAGACGATTATTCAAAAAGAACTGGTTTGATCATCGTAAACACATCATCCGTGTTTGAGTGCAGTGATACTGTAGACAAGGTGGTAATATAATGCAAAAATAAAGTAAATAACATAAAAAATAAAATTAAATCATTCCTCTGGCTGTAACCTGAGTTGCGCGCTAATCTCGGCAGCACTGACAATCGCGTCTCTCAGATCATGTTACACATTAGAATGAAAGATGACGTACATGGTAGGCTATCATGTAAGTCTAAATAAACAGTTTTGAATATTGACTTTTATTGTTAAGTGAAACTTAATGAGTATAATTTTCTTCTCAAAACTGCCGTCCGTCCATTGACAATAATGCAGGTGGAAATTCCTTTACGCTACTAATCGGAGCAGAATGTGACGACACGCGGACTGTGATAAATGACGCAAAAGAGAATTAAATTCAGTACTGGCGTGCTGTCTATGAAATTTACGCACAGAAAGACACTAGTTCTTAGATAGCTTGCCAGTACTGATTTGAGTTGTCTTTTGCGTCTTATCTCACTTGAATGAACAAAAACACAAAATGATGTCAAAATGCCAGTATTAGGAGACATTTAAGATGAGAATGAACAGGCACAAAAAAATATTTTGCCAAAAATTAGTGCAGTGCTGAGCCAAAAGAATACATGTAAAAGAAGAACAGAATACAATGTACTTAGCATATCACAAGAAATTTGGACATTGTAACATGCTAGAGTTAGAACCTTCGGTTCGCGAGCTTGCTGCTTATTGTGCTTGTTTGCCACATTGAGGACACATTTGTCTCGGTGCAAAGGAGAGCTTCCAAGGTGAGAATGTACATACAAAACCATTAGTTATGCTAACTGATTAGTATGCTAAACTAGTGTATTAACAAAGTTTACTGTTAGTTTGATAGCTGAAGAGCCACATTAGAAAGAATGACTAATGGTTAGCATAGTAAGCTAACATGGCATAAGACAATAAATACAGATTTTGGAATGTTGTTTTTCTGTAACAGTAGCAATAATCAAACATCTATTTGGTCCTTTCTGTGTGGCTCAGTCCAAAGATCATCTCAGCCGATTTTGGACACAATTGGACAAGATTTGTAGTAGGAGTTGACGACAAAACTTTAAAATGACAGACAAGCAAAATTACAGAAAATTATAAATAGAATATCGTTGGAATCAGCATAACCCATGGAATATAGTGAGACAAAGAAAACAAAAAAGTTTTGGTAAAAACACTATCTCTTGAAGGCTAGGTGACGCTATCTTCAAACTTCTTGGGCACAAAACATGTAAATGAAGAAACTCAAATTGTTCAACATCCTGCACCTTATTTGCCGTTTATATATTATGTTTTCTGTTTGTTTTACAGATGAACCTGCTGCTAAAGGAGTACCTGGTGTCAGGTGTGCTCTCTGAGGCTGAGCACTGTCTGCGAGATCTAGAAGTGCCACACTTTCATCATGAACTGGTCTATGAGGTATGGATGAACATTTCACATACTAAAATAGTCAATATATTAAATGCACATAAATTGTCATCTTTGTCATCATTGTCATATATGACAACAAATAAAAATGACTATATACAGTTGTGCTCAAAAGTTGACATACCCCTTGCAAAATCTTCAAAATGTTAATTATAAAAAAAAAAAAAAGAGAGATCATACAAAATGCATTTTATTTTTTATTTAGTACTGTCCTAAATAAGATATTTTACATAAAAGATGTTTACATAAAGTCCACAAGACAAAAAAATAGCTGAATTTATCAAAATCACCCTTTTCAAAAGTTTACGTGCCCTTGATTCTTAATACTGTGTCGTTACCTGGATAATCCACAACTTTTTTTGTTTTGTGATGGTTGTTTGAGTTCCTCGTTTGTCCTGAGCAGTTAAACTACCCAATGTTCTTCAGAAAAATGCAATTTCTTCAGTTTTCCAGTATCTTTTGCATATTTGAACCCTTTCCAGCAGTGACTGTATGATTTTGAGATCTTTTCACATTGAGGGCACATTTTGTATGATTCCTCTCATTCCTCTTCATTCTGATTTCTCTCACCTGTTTTTCTGTCTGGTTGATATAGGCTGTGATTATGGTACTAGAGTCTACAGGTGACACAGCCATACAGATGATGGTCAAACTCCTCAAGGTGTTGTGGCAAACTGGCCTAATCACTCTGGACCAGATGAACAGGGTTTGTACAAACTTAACTTCTTTTTTTTCTTCTTTTTTTAAAGCTATTATGCAGCTGGGTGATATACTGTTACCAATTAGCTAAAACTGTCTAAACATTCTACCATTATTCTTCTAGTAATTTCAGATCCTAATGATTGTTTACTATTGTTATTATTTTAATTATTAGCCAACAGATGGTAGTGTTTATAATGGCATAAAACCATTGACATCACATGGAAACACGTCTTCGGTGATTCTAGATCTATTCTGAAAATTAGTTTTTTTTCCACATACACTACCGTTCAAAAGTTTGGGGTCAGTGAGAATTTTATTTTTATTTTTTGGAGGAAAGAAATCAATACTTTTATTTATCAAGGAATAATTAATTTGATCGAAAGTGACAGTAAAGACATTTATAATGTTACAAAAGTCTTTTGAACTTCCTATTCATCAAAGATTCAAAAAAAAAAAAAAAAAAACTGTACAACTGACAGACCAACAACTGTTTCAACATTGATAATAATAATAAATGTTTCTTGAGCATCAAATCCTCATATTATACTGATTTGTGAAGGATCATTTGACACTGAAGACACTGACACTGGTGATGCTGAAAATTCAGCTTTGAACACAGGAATAAATTACACTTTACTATATATTCACACAGAAAACAGCTGATTTACACTGGAATAATATTTAATACTATAACTGATTTTTGTTGTATTTTTAATCAAATAAGCGCAGCCATGGTTAGCAGAAGAGAATTCTTTTAAAAGTATTTAAAATCGTACCGACCCCAAACTTTTGAACGGTAGTGTATGTGCGATGGCACATGTTATGCTTGTTGCCAGTTACACACGCACACACACAAAACCATTGAACGAGTATATAAACTTGCATAAGGTTTCATGGTTCAAACCAAATTAAACGGCAATCGCGGACTTCATTGCACAGGATATGCGCGGTTTCACCTGCTGGTATCCGCTGATTTCACGCAGCTGCCATTTTGAAATGGCTCCGGTGGGAAGAAAACCGGAAGTGTCGCCTTTAATCATAGGAGAGTCGCGAATGCGATGGCATATTGTTGTGTTTAATGTAGAAATTAGTTATTCTAAAAATGTACATACATTTCTTTCATATTTTAGACTATATACAGTAAAAATCATTTATAAATAAAATCATTTTTTTACGTTCTGAATTATATATATAAAAAAAGAAGCAGGAACGAACTATATACATATCCTATATTAGATATTAACATCCAATAGTGTAAATCGCGGCAGCAGCTTCAGGTTTGTAGTCCAAGGCACTGTTGTCTATCTGTACTTCCGGGGTTCTTCCCACCGGAGCCTCGCTTTCGATTTCAAAATGGCGGCTGCATGAAATCAGCGTATTCCAAATGCTCTAACAAGGCATCATTTATGCCATTTGAAATTGTTACAAATTACTTTGTATTTACTTTGTATGTTTTAAAGCAATATTTAATGATGAAATTAACGTACAATTGTTTTGATTTATTGAGTATGTGTTTTTTTATTTTTTATAAAATGCATTAAAAAAATGTATCGATCGAAAAAAAAGTATCGTTGTAGAATTGAATTGTGATTCCTGGAATTGGAATCATAATCGGATAGCGAGGTGCCCAAAGTTTCCCACGATTCAATACGATAGTGGATGGTGATTTATTCCAAGTTTTTTCCAGTCATCACTAAATTTGGGTCTGTTAATCTTTGGATCATGGTTTTATTCAAAACGGTTTGCTTTTGTAACGTCAGCAGAAGTTTCTCAGCGAAGCTTGTTGTATTGATATCCAACTTGACCTGGTCATTTGAAGGTTGCAGCTTCAAAGCCTGCAGAGGAAAGTCTGAGATCCATTATTATTGTGCTTGTGAGCAAGGGAAATAAACCCACAAAGTAGTCTTTATTTATTCATTTTCCATATTTTTAATGTAACACTAACGTCAAGGGTCACATAAATAAATAAGGAGGTATCAATCACCATTTACCAACAGTTATATTTCCCTTAAGTAAAGTATACAATTTTTTGATCATACAAAATGTCTTGACAAAATTACATGAGGCAGAGCATTTGGAAGCAAAACCTTATAAATGTGCACCCAATATCAAAGTCCAGAGTTACCACAATTGTCCTTGGTCCATCACGCCATTATAGATGTTTAAGATGTTAGAAGAACATCATCCACGTTTGTTCAACAAGGGTTAATCCAAGGAAAAAGTGTATTTTCGTTCAGGAGTTCGGATATACTTCCACGTGGAAGATAACAACACAAAGAACTTGAACCGGTTGAGAAGCCCCCAAAATCAAGCAGATACCAAAACCCTATTGAGATGTTGAACACAAATGTTCCTCAACAGGGTTTTCCAAATGAAAGCATGGAAAGAGCATGTGCTCTCAGCAGGTATTCCTAACTCACACTTCCCTCTTCCTTTTACTCTCTGGTCTGGAGCATAGACAGTAAAAGAAATGGACACAGCGACCCCATTAATTTCAATGGAGATAATTGAAGCCCGTTAAAAGCTGATCGCCAGGCGTACTGCGCAGGCTCAAACTGAGCCTGTCACATGAGCAACCTGTATGTCTTCTAGTAGCTGTGCCGAGTGAAATCTGAATAATTCCCTTCCGAATCTCACAGAGACGGAGAGAGTGAGTATTAGCTGTCCATGAGCTAGCAGCAGGATCAACTTTATGACTCTCTCTATGGGCTTCTCCCTTGACTTTATCGGACTTTATACCTCCAAGTCCCCCCGATTGCCTGCGAGCTTCTCCTCCTGTCTATATGGTAATTTCTCTACTGTGCGACGGAGAGTCGATTCGTTATGACGCAATCATTAGCCTATTTTTACAAAAACTGCTTCTACGGGGCCATAATGTAAGATACAAGGTATTGGAGCCTTTTATACATTGTCGTGTTTATTTAGAAATAAATAATGGACAAATGGAGTCTTTGGACGCCTCAAATATAAAGTTATTCGCTGTCAAAGTGACGCCAAAATGAATGGGAGTCAATGGGATGCTAACAGCAGGTGAAGTTCTGCTACTATGGCCCTGTCCCAAATGGTGCACTTCATGCGGACTTTCGGTCTCGTGGACTTATATTGCGCGTGCTCGCCGAGTCTACGAGTCCGTAGGCCGTCCCATTTAGCATTTTAACGCTCTGAAGTGTGCTCAGCAGCGCCCCCTTTGTACCCTTGAAGCGGTCTTCCGCGAAGCCCGCATAGATGCAGGCTCCACGCACTTTAACTACCCAGGAATCCTTGCGAAAGGCCAATCAGACAACGGATGGGAGGAGATTTCGCTCACGGACAATTGTTAACATGGCTGAGAAGAAAATATTTAAGTGTAATTATCATTACGGTTTTTATGACAAGTTTATACAAACATTATGATCATCGACCAGTGGTTGATGTCTCAAACATAGGCTAATAATAGCGAGCTGAATAATACGATCGCATTATGATTCATTAAATAAATAGAACAGAACGTCAGGGCTTTACCGAGTCATATGTAAACACAACAACAATAGGCAGCATATTTCCCTGAACCTGTAGCTCCTGTCCATAACAACAATCAGACCGTCTTCCTGTTTCCGGCGTGATGATCGAGTCTGTCCCAAAAATACCTCTCAATGCGCCCTCGCGGTCTCGCGCTAAGGGCCCTATAGGTCTGCACTACATGACGTCACCGAAGTGTGGACTCTGAGGAAGTCCACAAGTCCGGAGTGTGCCATTTGGGACAGGGCCAATGGCGGCTCCCGCAAGGCTTCGACTTCCGGCTGATGGATTACCCCCTTGGTCTGGAGAGATCTCCCGGATAATGGCTCCCTAGTGCCCTCTAATGGCTGGGAGTGAAATTGCAACTTGTATTTAACATGGGAGACAGGTAACGGTTAACTAGAACTGTTACAATCAGGCATTAAACTTGTTACAGTTGTAATATTTTAGCTTTATCTGCTCATAACAATGACTTCCAAGTCAATAATTGAATTCCACATAATTCAATCATTTGGATCTGACCAGGTTAAATATGGAATTGCTCCAACATGGTTGCCAACATTTTTCATCTAGTTGTTTGTGAGAGAATTAATGTGTTTGCGTGTTATACACAGGGCTTCCAGCGTGTATACGACGAGCTGCCAGAGATTAACCTGGATGTGCCTCATGCACACTCCATTATGGAAACCTTTGTGGACCTTTGTTACCAGGAGTCAGTCATCACTAAGCAGCTGAGGGATTTCTGTCCAACCAGGTCAGAGACTTGCATCTTCCCTGCTTATCGATGTTCTTTAGAGAATAAGAATTTTAAATTTGTTAATGTCTGATATTTGATGTCAATTCTCTTCCTGTGAACACTAGCATTATAACAAATGTATTCCTGTGGCCAACAGGGGGCGTAAGCGCTTTGTGAGTGAGGGCGACGGAGGGATTGTGAAAAGCTAGAAGAATCAGGAGAGTTCCGCAGGACCCTGATGCTGAGCAGGCTGGGATCTCCTGCACTTCCCTGGGAGTCTGTCCTCACTGTCTTCATTGCTCATCTTCCGAGTACACAGAAATATTCAGCCTCAGAAATGATATCATGTAGAAGAGTGACAACTGAGAAATGCTGTTCTCTCCTCTATTACAGGCTTTGTTTCATTTGTTTGTGAATTTATGTGCGTTTTTATGCAGCATAAATGCTGCAGTGAAAAAACGAAGTGAGGGGAAATCAGCAGCTTCAGATGGCCATGAAATACAGTTTGGGTTGAGGGATTAATTTTGCTTTATCTTTTTTAGCTTAAGTTGTTTTTCTGTTTTTGTTCACAAGTGTTCACTTGTTAGTGTTCACAGTGATCTCCCAATTATTGCAATGTAATGCATAAAATATGAAGTACTTAGAATAAGGTATTAAAAGAATTTGTGCTATTCAACGGAAGTGCTAACTGTTGGGCCAAAATACAATATTTTATGAAGCGATTGGGGTCACTTCTAATTGTTTTCATTTGATTGCATGTTTATCTTCAAATTTGTCTTATTGCATAAAGAAACCATACGTTTACAGATTCACAAGGATCTGGGATATTTTTGGTTAGCTGCATACAGACTTTTTTTTTTTTCTCAATGCTTATTCATGGTTTATGCCAAATGCATGTCAAGAAATCCTAATTCTATGTTTCTGGCTAGTTTTGACATCTTTGTATGTTTTAGCTGCCAATGAATGGAGGAGAGAGAGAGCATCATCACCTCTCAGTCAGGCTGATGCCTGTGAGATTTTTGTCTCCCATTTTCATAGCAGCCTAAAGTATGTACCCCTGTTTGATGAAGTTCAGAACATCCATTTTCATTTTTAGTCCTTGTATTTATTTGGACAAAGAGAAGCCAGCTGAGACAATTAATGAAAATATATATCAATTTTGAAGTGGTAAACTTTTCAGCAATCAATACCTAGTGTCAGTTGTAATATGAGTGATTTTTTTTTATTTGATTTTTTTTACTTTTGTCATGCGATCAGTCTTTGTGTCTGCTTGTTCATGGGACACTTTTTCAAAGCAAAAACATTATTTTTGTCAACCAGCAGTTCCAGAGTTCCAGCATTGAATACATTTTGACACTAATTGTTTCAATAAAAATTCATAATGCTCATATTCCTGTTTCTTTGGGATAGTTTAACACTTTTTTCCCCCGATAGATTTTCCAGTCAAATCTATATGTTGTAACATGAAACTATTGATAAAATCACATCTGCTAATATTGCACATTACCCTTCAAAATTTTAGGGCTGGGATTTTTAAAAAATGTTATTTAATTGAAAGAAGTCTCTTATGCTCATCAAGACTACATTTGATTCAGAATATAGTAATTGCAGTAATATAGTGAAATATTACAATTTAAACCATTCTAAAATGCAGATGTAAAGCTGAATTTTCAGCAGCCATTACACCAGTGTCACGTGTACTTCAGCAGTGCTGAGTAGATTACTTCCAAACTAATCCATTACTGAATACAAATTACATGATCAAAATCGTGATTAGTAACGTAACATTACACATTTTAGGTAAACATCTGATTACTTTTGACCTTATTTATCACATTGATTTGTAGAATAATCTTGTAGCATATTGATATAAAAATGCAAAGAGAAAGAAAATGCATTCCACTCTTTGTTAACGAGAAGTGTATTAAACATGTCTTTCTAAGGCCCTTGCACACTGAGTCCGACACTTTCGCACGTTAAAAAATAAATACGACCTCACGGTATGTCAATCACGCTTGCACACTGTCTCCGAACCTTTCGTCCGTCATAAAAAAAATCGGGATTTTCTGCGTTTTTCGAATCCGTAGCAAGCAGTTGGTGTTCAGAATAGTGTTTTGACAATTCAGAGCCACCGAATCACGAACACGAAAAAAAAAAAAAAAAAAACGCATACGAAAATGTCGGACTCAGTGTGCAATTAAGGGCCTTGGGGTTGTGCAGCTCGTAAATTAACGAAAAGCTAATAATTAAACCTTAAAAAAGTTAAATTTAAAGAACTGTTTTTAAATAAAAATAAAACACTAAACTAAAAAAAATATTTTTACTTGTTTATGGTGAATAATGACATGTTTTTTTAAAATGTTATTTGATTGAAAGAAGTTTCTTATGCTCATCAAGACTACATTTGACAAACTGCGACTTTCTTGACTTTCATATCTTTTAAATTGACAAACATCATATGTGCACAGTTCAGACGGAATAAAAATAAGTTGTCTCTCGCCATTGATACCATCCCAGCTAACACACGACGTCGCAGTTACGTAATCTATTCGTACTTTTTGGTAATTTCATGACTTACCAACTGACAACGTAGTCTCGACGTCGCATGTCTGTAATTTTATTACCATCAAATTACCAACTGACAACGTCGTCAGTACGGTCTCCTAAGGTTATAAGATAACCAACAACGTCGCAGATACGTACTCTAATCGTAATTACTTGGTAATTTTATGACTTACTGGCAACGTAACTACAACGTCGCATGCCCGTAATTTCATTACCATCATATGACCAAACCACAATAACGTCGTCAGTACGGTCTCCTAAGGTTATAAGATAACCAACAACGTCGCAGATACGTACTCTAATCGTAATTACTTGGAAATGTTATGACTTACTGGCAACGTAACTACAACGTCGCATGCCCGTAATTTCATTACCATCATATGACCAAACCACAACGTCGCCAGTACGTCCTCCTAAGGTTATAAAATAACCAACAACGTCGCAGATACGTACTCTAATCGTAATAACTTGGTAATTTTATGACTTACTGGCAACGAAACTGCAACGTCACGGGCCCGTAATTTCATTACCATCTTTAATTTATATAAAGATAGTGCTTAATTCATATTCTCTTTTAATGTAATATATATATATATATATATATATATATATATATATATATATATATATATATATATATATATATATATATATATAATACAGATGTCTTGAAATTGCTTTACAATAAAAATAAAAGCAAAATGGTATAAAAAAATAAAGCATAATTGTGAAGTGAATGGGTCATAGAACTACACAATGAGTTTTAAATTTATTATTTAAAATTAATGATATTTTAAATTGTTAAATGTTATAATTCTAGATGTTTATTTAAATGCTGCGTGCCTTTTTTACGTGTTCTATGGTTTCAATGGGCGTACGTGCGCGTAAACATTGAGTCGCATTCAAAGCTATCTGATTCAAAGACAGGAGCGCGCGAGAGCAGATGGAAACCATGGAAACGAGGAAACCTCATCAACTGACAAACAGCAAAACTAGCGTTTCTCACTGTTGTTTTCACTGCTTTCAGGTAAGTTTAGTTACCAAAATCACACAAATAATACATACAAACGTTCCTGACATCTTTCTTACGTGTAACTGATACACTTCTGTTGAATATTTACTTTATAGAAATGGTTTTGTGTCCTAACGGAAAAAGTCCGTTAGCATCTCAACCGTTTTCAGAAGAGCTAAGTTAAGTTTACGTTACAATTGAGCTCTTGTTTTACATAAGTTTGGGTTTTTAACCACATTTTTGTGTTGATAACAGTTTTTGATAGTTTTGTTTTGCTGGTAATTTGTCAATGGGTGATTGGAAGTAAGCTAATTTATTTAACCTGAAATAATTCACTGTAACGTACTGTTAATGACGTCACTTACAAAGATAGAAAGGGGGAATTATTGTTTAATCATGATAATAATTTCATATGCATTTATTGCACAATATATTACCTTAAGATTTTTTCTGCATTTCATCTCTGCTCTAGCTTGCTTCCTTGTAATAAACCCTTTGTTCTATTGTAAATTCTATGTAACATTGTTGGCTCTGTGTCTGTGACACATTGCATGTTATTTTCTAGAAGATCATCATGCTGATGGCCTGCTGCACCCCCTGTCCAAGACAACCTCCACGGCTATGAACTCGACTATTAAGCAAAACCTCAAACATACTGTTCAATAGTTGTGGGTCTGTAGGATTTATGCTTTTGAATGAAGTCTCACACTTTAAATGCATTAACCAGTTTTTTTCACTGACATTGTCCTTGAGAAGCCTGTAGGCTAAATAATCAGCTAAACAATAGGCCTCAGGCGGCAAATATAATGTTATAATGGTCATAGTGATAATTCATTTAACTATTATGATGACAGGATATCATGGTCATTGGTATATATATATATTTTTTTTTTCTCTAGGTGTGTTTTTAATTATGTTGGCCAATGAGACAGACACCATACTGTCCAACTCAAAGGTATTTTTTATGTATTTTTTACTGGTAAATACTGAAATTCTTTTTACTTTTAAATGCTGAATTCAGGGAGTCGACCACTTTAGGCACGCAAGTTATTTTTCACAGATATCTGTCCAGTTTACTCATGGCTCATACTCTTAGCCTTTAAAATGTTTGAATGTATATCCGCAATACAATATCAGGGGGTAAAGATATCATTAGAGTTTTTAAAGTTATGGCTATGCTCTTGTTACCAGATGAGATATCTTTGACCCTGTGATTCTTCAGGACGAGATCTTGATGCCATCAACACTCAGTACATGACGAAGGTGAGTTTCACAATAGCTGCCACTATCACAAACCAAGAGACAGAACACAACAGGCCTTCATCCATATGTAGGGATAGGTTCCGAAACCCGGTATTAAACATTAAACGGGCCCTGGGGCCAAATTAAGGAAGACCGCATAAGCCCAGACATTATCGGTTCTGCTGACGGTACTGAAGAAATTACACACACTATTTATTATAGACATTGTCTTGCAAATTCTGTGAGGATTAGGAGGGGTGTTTTAAACAGTCTTCATACAACATGTGTTTTTCAGGCTGGTTGTTTGTAATTTTGTAAGAGTAGGGAGAGGCTGTACCTCAGTGAAGACTTATTTTACATTCGATAATTCAATTTCCGTACCTGATAAGTTAGATTTTCCTAAAAAACATCATGCACTGCTTATTTCAGTTGTATTTTTCTTCTATTGAATTTATCCATGCTTGTAATTTGTTTATAATTTTCAATGCAATTCACTCCTCTAAATAAATAATCTCTTGAAATTTGTTTTTATATCGCAATATATATAGCAGCAGATAAACAAAATATTTTATTTAAGGTTTTCAATATTGTGCAGCCCTAATATTAAGCATGTAACCTAACCCTAATTTTAAATTGAACCTGGAATGATAATTTGTGATACCAGATGAGATGTATGTATGATAGATTTTGAACTGTACTATGTTTGTATTGCAGGTTTTCTGGGATCCGCAGCGGAAGGCATCAAGGCGTGAGATGTTGGCCTGGACTGATGTACCTGAACACCACACCGACCTCTGCTTTTGCATGGATGGCTGATTACTACTATGTTCTGTATAGGTTTTATTATAGCAAAACTGAGCACCTGTGACAGTGGAATCTGTAGGTGTAAAGTAGTCAGACATCAGTACATTTAAAGTCACAGAGAGAAAGTTTTTTTATTTTTTTATAGAAGTTTCAAACTTTTTTCTCTTTTTCACAAAAAACACTGCAGTAACAGCTTTTCAAATTCTTCATTGGAGGTGCACAAATACTTTTATTTTTTTTCAAATCACAAAGTAAGAAATGTATGCTGACATTTAAGGCGCGGCCACACAGGGGGTTTGAGCATATGTGACTGTGAATAAAAAGTGAAGTGTGACCACATGAGAATAGCCAAACAGTATAGATGATCACAAAATTATACACCAAGAAATGTGCAGAATTGGCCAAAATGTTACTGTTTATCAACAAAAATATGACCCTATGAGTTTGGTAATTTGTAGAATAGGATTTGTGCACCTGCAATGAAGAATTTAAAAAGGTGTAACTGATGTGTTGTGTTTGTGAGAGATAAAGGAAAGAAAAAGAGGTTTGCAACTCATAAAACATTTTCTCGAAGACTTAAAATCTACAAATTGCACTGTTATAGGGACTCTGTTTTGCTTCAATAATACTAGATATAATACAGTGTCAATCTTATTAACTACTATTTATTTTGTATAAAATCATATACAGTACTGGTCAAAAGTTTGGAAACATTACTATTCTGCTTATCAAGCTTGCATTTATTTGACAAAAAAAAACAAAAAAAACATTATTATCATAATGTAAAACAGCTGTTTTCTATGTGAAAATATAGTAGTGTAATTTATTCCTGTGTATAATATTATTATATCATGTAACACTGAAGACTGGATTAATGATTCTGAAAATTCAGCTTTGCATCACAGGATTAAATTATATTTTTAAGTATATTAAAATAGAAAAACCGTATTTTAATTATATTAATATAAAACCTTCTTCATTTAAATGCTTATAAACCTGTTTGTACACTGTTTTTGCTGTTGTTTGTGCTTTGTTCTATAGTAAATGAACTGAATTAACCAAATACTGAGTCTGTATCTTTCGTATGTCGTTGAAAAGTTAAAAAAATAGTTGTGGGCAAATGTGGACAAGTTAAATTAGACCACTGCTTGTCCGCCCATATTAATTAAAACTAAAATGACCAACTGGTTACCAACACACGACTATTGATCCACGACGTTGCCACAACGTCGCAGTTACTTACTGACAACGTTGCAAAGTTACGTTGTAACAACGTATCTGGGAATTTCACTTTTCCGGTTGCCACTACGTAACTAATTACGTCGCCACGACGAAAGTTTGGTCACCAGATTACGTTGCAGTTACGTAACAGTTACGTATTTGTGTTAGCTGGGATACTTTTTTCCGAAATTGGGCTCATGGGACCTTATTTCGGAAAAAATATGTATGCCAGTCTGGTGCAAAACACTCAGGCAATTTAAACGATAAAATTAGGCATCTACTGCCGTTTTGTGAATATAAAGTGATCATGTAATCAATAAAAAAAAAAAACCTGTAGTAGCCTGAGTATTTTAAAATCTACTTACAAGTAGGCCTACCTATATTTTATTTTAGGAATCTGATTACATAATTCAGATACATTACTACCCACCTGCACCCTTCAGAAATCATTCTGAAGCATCTCAATTTAAATAGTGATGGGCGTTTTCGAAACACTGCTTCCTGAAGCTTCGAAACCTTTGTGAATCTTTTGTTTCGAACCAGTGAACCAGAGCAAGAGTCACGTGATTTCAGTAAAATGTCAATGGTTAAATGATTAGCCAAACCAGTGTATTGTTTTTACCTGATCTCTGATCGATTTTATACATTTGTGGACATTTTTGTTGACACATTTGTATAATACTAGTCTCTTGGCCTGATTAACCAAGCTCTCCATAATAAAAAAAAAAAAAAAAGAACTAGTAATTTAATAAAAATAACACATTTATACCGTCATTTCATATTTAATGGTATTAGATTATTTGTTAATTCCATTTAATAGATTACACTTTCAATAAAACATTCTGTGAAATGTTTTTCACTGAGTTTTCGATGCATTTACACCATTCTGACCAGCAGGCGTCACCAGCGTGTGGCGTTTCGAGAGCTTCAAAACTGCTACGGTTGTTTCTCCCATCAGTTTAAACACTTTCATACTCCAGACCAGTTGGTGGCAATAGTACACTTTGGTCGCCATAAACATCACAACAAGAAGAGGAGTACAGAGTCTGTTTACCGTACGTGTAGATTTTTTTAATCGTTTGTTTCATTTTTCTGGATGTGCTCACGCAGAGTGGGAATTATAGTCCCAAATTCACGCGCAATTAAAAGTGTAACGTTATTGTTGTTTCTTTCCTTTGATTTATTTTATGTTATTATACAGATTATACAAGGCTGTTTAATATTGTTGTGGAATGCTAAATGGCACGGTGACTATAATACACTATCATTATCTAAGGATGGAAATCCATTTATTTAGAAAATAAGAACTCTGTGTTTACCCATTACTGTTTTGATCTAGCCTTGATCAAGCTTGATTTAATAATTTGCTGTTAATTAATTTATTTCAGAGATAAGTTTAGCTGCCCATATAAAGCAAGACATTTAACTGACCTAAGAATGAGAGGGCATTTAATATTTTAAAGCGTTTATTCTTTCTCTTGGTTTTAGTCGACATGAGCAGCAGCCCCATCAGATATTTCCTCTTTAGCAGATATACTGTTTTAAAGATGAGCAAACCAGTCTACTTTACCAGAGCTAAAGAGGAGGAAAATCTCTGGATAGAAAGAAAGAGAGAAGACAAGCAAACACTTTCTGGGGAGGAGGCCAGAGACTTCTACCAAACCCTGCTACAAGAGAGAGATGGAGAAAGGCCAAAAGAGGGAGAAGCAGCAACCATAAGGAGAGTGAGAAGAAGAGCAGGTAGAGATGGAGATAATAAGTAGATTGAGAATTATGATTACAGCATCTAAAAAAATATTGTTTCATTTTGATTTTATTTCCTTCTCATTTCTCCTGGTCACAACTCAGCTGAAGTTGGAATCCTTTTTTGCATGATTTAAAAGTATTTAAAGTGGTCAAATGAAAAATCTAGTTATCACCTGGCACATTGTTACATTGATACAATTGATGATTGAAACTGAAACTTAAAAGTAAAAATAATAGTGGTGTTATGAAAATATTCGGTAACACTTTTTTGAAACAAAGTTGATAAATACATTAACATGACCACCAATATTTACACATTTATTATTTATAAATACTGATAAGAGTCAGCTAACCATATATTTTCCCCTAAATATGTTAGCACCTGCGGCAACCAGTTTACATAGACGCTTTAAAGACACAGCACCAAAAAAGCGGGAAATGGTCATGAAAACCTAAACTATGACAAACCTAGTTTCTATAATTTATTCTTAATATCTTTGCATTTTGGCAGGCTGGGAAAATGATAGAACATTCAAACAGAAATTTTCCATTTGAAATTTGACTACAAGCATATATGTTTAAATTATGTCTCAAAGTATGATTTCATAAATAGATTGCAAAAAAATATTAAGTTGCATTGATATTAGTCGTAAATTTATTTATATAATTATTGGCACAGTGTGGCTTCTACTAAACCTTTAAACCTTACCTTTTTCATAAAACTATAATCTATAGACCTTATGTAGCCCTGCCCCTTTTCAGAGCTGCACTCGTTGTGTTCTGTCTTCCGGTTTTGTATTTGCACAGCATTAAGGTAAGATCTTATAGATCTTATAAATGAACCGCTTGTTTTAAAATCTTCTCGGTCAACTGACATTTTTTAAGACATCCGCTTCAAACATTACAATGCTCGTGATAACTTTTGTAAACTCTATAATAAGTACATCCACTTCACCAGCTAATTACTCTTCTATTTCACTGTTCCAGACCGCCAGAGACGGTCAGTACATGGTGGAAGGAGTCGCGTCTCGTGCATCACATCAAGAATCTCGTATTAATTCAGTCACACATGACTTTTTGACTTAATGGAAGCTATATCAGTTCTGACTACGTCACGGTCGGTTTCTTTGTCATTCTCGCGAAGAGATCTTGCTCGAGTGTACACAGCTCTTTGCTTGGCATTTCTTTTCCTGTTATAGCTGTTTCTCAAGAAAGCGAAACAATGTTGGATTCGTTATTGGATTTATATAGGATTTTAAATAGTTTTGGACCCATTAGTTATCCAGGGTCTTCACTAAACGCGTGTTCCTGTCAGAGAAATAGAGGTGAGTGTTTGTATTAACTCATTGTCCATAGTTGCACTCACTGGTAAACCAGGGCGTCAGTCATTATTTGCGGTTACGGTGACAACCAATTATTGCACCTATCATTGCAGTACCATATTCAGCTCTGTTAATTAACCCATTGGTTTACCAGGGTTTATTTTCTCAACGTGTAGGTGATATGGCTGCCTCATGTACCACATGTTCAGGTCCTATGGATCTTATGGATACCCATATACAATGTCCTGTCTGTCTAGGCATCAAGCATCTCAGGGAGGCCTTAGTTGTTACTTTCCCAGAATGTAATTTGATGTCTTTTGAGGTTAAGCAATAGACTGGCCTGAAGTTCAAAATTCATCAGCACCAGCCAGAGGCAAGGTTCAGACTGGTAGTAAGCATTCACATTTACATTTACATTTAGTCATTTAGCAGACGCTTTTATCCAAAGCGACTTACAACTGAGGACTAAACCAAGCGAGTCATCGTGAAGAGGCAAAAACAACGCAAGAAGTGCTCAAAATACAAAGTTCAGACATAGCTCGGAGTAGCATAAGCCAGGCAAGCGAGGATTTAGAGGAAATTTTTATTTTTATTTTTTATTTTTTTTATGTTAAGTGCTCCCGGAAGAGATGAGTTTTCAGTTGTCTTTTGAATGATGTCAGGGATTCTGCATTCCGGATGAGGGTGGGGAGATCATTCCACCAGCATGGAACCGTGAATGAGAATGTTCTGGAGAGTGATTTTGTGCCCCGCTGTGATGGTACCACGAGCCGTCGCTCATTGACCGATCGTAGGCTTCTGGTAGGGATGTAGACTTGTAGTAGTGAGTGGAAGTAGGAGGGAGCTGAACCTGTGGTCAATCTGTAAGCAAGCGTCAAAGTCTTGAACTTGATGCGAGCAGCGAGTGGTAGCCAGTGCAGAGAGATGAACAGAGGAGTGACGTGGGCCCTTTTGGGCTCGTTGAAGACAAGACGAGCTGCAGCATTCTGGATCATTTGTAGAGGTTTAGTTGCACATGATGGAAGTCCAGCCAGAAGAGCATTGCAGTAATCAAGCCTAGAAATGACCAGGGCCTGGACGAGAAGTTGTGTTGCATGCTCAGTTAGGAAAGGCCTGATCTTCCTGATGTTGTGCATAGCAAACCTGCATGATCGAGCTATCTTTGTAATGTGGTCTGTGAAGGTCAGCTGATCATCAAAGATTACTCCAAGATTTCTGACCGACCTTAATGGGGTGATTGAGGAAGAATCTAGCTGGATAGTGAGGTCATGCTGTAGAGACTGATTGGCAGGGAGGACGAGAAGCTCAGTCTTTGCCAGGTTGAGCTGCAGGTGATGTTCCTTCATCCATGCCGAGATGTCCGCCAGACAGCTTGAGATCCGTACAGCTACTGTGGCATCATCTGGTTGAAATGAGAGGTAGAGCTGGGTGTCATCAGCATAGCAATGGTAAGAGAAACCATGTGCCTGTATGATAGGTCCCAGTGATGTGGTGTAAATGGAGAAGAGGAGCGGTCCGAGAACTGAACCCTGAGGAACGCCTGTGGTCAGTTGATGTGCTTTGGATACCTCACCTCTCCATGTGACCTTGAAGGACCTACCTGTGAGATAGGACTCAAACCAGTTGAGGGAGGTTCCAGTGATGCCCAGTGATGAGAGGGCGGACAAGAGGATCTGATGATTCACAGTGTCGAAGGCAGCAGACAGGTCCAGTAGAATGAGAACTGATGATTTGGAAGCAGCTTTTGCGATCCGCAGGGCTTCCGTGACTGACAGCAATGCAGTCTCAGTTGAATGTCCTTTCTTGAAGCCAGATTGGTTGACATCCAGCTGGTTGTTCAGAGACAGGAAGGATGATACTTGGTTAAAAGCAACTCGTTCAAGTGTTTTCGCAATGAATGGTAGGAGAGAGACAGGTCTGTAGTTCTCTAGAAGTGATGTGTTTAATGTTGATTTTTTAAGCAGAGGAGTTACCCGAGCCTGCTTAAATGCTGTAGGGAAAATGCCAGTGTGGAGGGATGAGTTGATAATGTGTGTGAGAGCTGGTAGAAGTGTGGGAGAGATGGCTTGTAGAAGGTGTGAGGGGATGGGGTCTAGAGGGTAGGATGACTGGAGAGGAGAAGTTTAGATACTTCTTCCTCGGTTAGTGGAGTGAAGGAGGAGAGAAGGTTATTGGCTGTGGGAGAGGTTAGTCTGGGTTCCTGTGTGTGTGAATCTGAGAACTGACTGCTGATAGTTGTAGTTTTGTTAGTGAAGAAGTTAGCAAAATCATCAGCAGTTAAAGAGGAGGTGGGTGGTGGTGGAGGTGGACAGAGGAGAGAAATTGAATGTCTTGAACAGTGAACGTGTGTTAGAGGCGCTGTTGATCTTGTTGTGGAAATATGAAGATTTTGCGCCGTGAACATCAACAGAGAAGGCAGAGAGCAGAGATTGATACCTACTGAGGTCAGATGTGTCTTTTGATTTGCGCCATTTCCTCTCCGCTGCCCTGAGCTTGGTCCGGTGTTCACGAAGAACCTCAGATAACCAGGGGTTAGAGGGAGTGGTGCGTGCTGGCCTAGAGGAGAGAGGGCAGATATTGTCTAAAGAAGAGGTTAGGATGGAGCATAAAGTATTCGTTGCAGTATTCACATCCAGAGATGAGAAATGTGAGGGTGAGGGAAGAGAAGATGACACAGCAGAGGAAAGATGGGATGGAGAAAGTGAGCGCAGGTTTCGTCTGAAAGTAAATGGTGGGGAGGTTGGTGGAGCATGGGTAGTGAGTTGTAGATTGAAAGTAATGAGGAAATGATCTGAAACTTGGAGAGGTTTCACCAAAATGTTGTCTGTGATACAGTTGCGTGTGTAAACCAGGTCCAGTTGGTTGCCTGACTTGTGAGTACCGTTGGTGATGAGCCGTTTGAGATCGAAAGAGGCTAGGAGAGAGATGAAGTCTGTTGCATACGGCTTTGCTAGGTGAATGTTGAAATCGCCAAAGACTACAAGTGGGATGCCATCCTGAGGGAAAGAGGACAGCAACACATCCAGCTCTTCTACAAAGCTTCCCAGTTGACCTGGGGGGCGATAAATAACTACAATATGGATCTTCATGGGAGTTGTAAGTGTAATAGCATGATATTCAAATGAGTTGTTATTGCATAGAGAAGAGAGAGTTGAATATTTCCAATTGTTAGAAATGAGAAGACCAGTGCCCCCACCCCTCCCCGACTGGCGAGGGGTGTGAGAGAAAGAGAAGTTGTTAGAGAGAGCAGCAGGGGTTGCTGAGTCTTCTGGACGGATCCAGGTCTCAGTCAAGCCCAAGATATTAAGAGTAGAATGAGATGCAAAGGCTGGAATGAAGTCAGCTTTATTGACTGCTGATTGACAATTCCATAGACCCATAGAAAGAGTGAGAGGTGAGTGTGAGGATGAGAGAAAAGGGCGCAGATAAGCAGTATTGCGCTGCCTTCTGTGCGTGGTGAGAGAGCGTTGTCGAGAGACAACAGGAATGTGTTGAAAGCACATAATGATAATGGGAAATAAGATAAAGGTAGGAAAGGAAAGGGTGAAGAAGATACTTTAAGTGCCTTGCAGGTGTCCTTGCTCGGTGGAGTCGCGCAGGTAGAGTCGCAGGTCTTTACCCGAGTCGGTCTTCACACGAGAGCTGAACACGAGAGCTGAATGCTTCCGCTGA